TTTTTTAAAAAAAAAAAAAAAGGGGCTGGGGAAAAAAAAAAAAAAAAAAAAAAAAAAAAAAAAGGAAGGAAAAAGGAGAGAAAAGATATTAATGCCATACCCATCTCTTCTCCTTTCCTTTCTGCAGCTTTCGGGAGTATTTTCCTTTCTTGATTGTGACAGGCCCCGTGAAGCTTGTCTCCTTCATTTTTTTCCCCCAGATGTGTTTTTTTTTCTTCTTGTCTTCCCACCCCCGCTGTTAAGTTCTCACACCCTCCTTTTTTTAATTACTTCTGTTTTTTCCCCTCTTTTTTTAATGTTGCGCTGTTCCAGAGATGTTAAAGGCGCAGCAGCCACAACAAACTGCAGCTTTTACATTTATATAGGCAGCCTGGAAATTATTCCAATTATTGCACGAGTGTTATTGACTCAAATTACACTTGACTCCCCTCTACGAAAGCTGAAAAGAGAGAGAGAGATGGAGGGGGGGGGAGGGGGGTGGTGGCAAATGACTGAAAATCTGCAGCACTGATCGCTGCTGGAGCTGAAACAATAGCAGGAAAGCAGCCCAGTTTGGGCTACAATTCAAGCACATCTGGTTTCTGTGAAACGATTAGATTTTTTTTTTTTCTTTTTTCTTCTTCCAGCATGTTGTGCAAAACGTTATGGCTCACACGACAGGAAAGTAGCTACAGAGAAATGAGGGGAAAAGTTGATTTCCACAGTGACTTTAACTCCTGTTAATGACATAAATGTATTTCAAATCAGACAGGTAAGACTATATATATTGTCGTCTGGCATGTTGATTCAGTTAGTTTATGTTATTTGATCAAATTGTTTTAGTGGAGAACATCTCATGTTGTAGAAGAACAAAAACAACAACAAAAAGTGCAATTTAAGGCTTGTAGAAGATGCCAAAAGGAAATCACCATAAATAGTTTTGCGCCTTTGCATCACTGTGGTGGAATTTTGACCCACTCTTCTTTGCGGAATTGTTTTCATTTGGCGACACTGCAGGGTTTTCAAGCACGAGCATGATCCCGTTTAAGGTCCTGCACCCAGTATCTTCACCTAGATTAACATCTGGACTTTGACTAGGCCCCTGCAAAATCTTTACTAATTCTTGTATTGTTTTTTAAAAAAAAAAAAAAAATATTCAGAGGTAGACGGAACAACTTTACTACTACTACTGATTCACTCAAGTTAACAGTTCACCAAGAAATTTTATTCTTCTTATTTCTAGCAAGGCTCTGTAAAATCTGATTGCCCAGTGAAGAGGAAATCCAGCCATTGGATATGTGGGGGGTGGGGGGGGAGCAGTAGGACAGGAGTTTGAGACCCCTGCTTGTAATGCTGAAGTTATCTTATTAATGATTGGCAAGTGAAAGCAGCATTATTGATCTGATCTGCTCCTACTTTTTAAGGCAGCAGGTCAAGCTGTTTGCACAAAACTAACTGATTAAGGTCTATTTAAGTTAAAGATGTCTGCACGCTGTGACCAAAGCAACAAAACCAGTAGAGCAAAGTGTAGTCAACTAAAGCCTGAAATGTAAGGCGATCCTGGAGACTTTGCTTGGGCCTGTTTTGATTTTGTTAGGTCTGTACTTTCTGTGGATTCCTGAGTTTTGCTGAGATTTCTTATTTACTCTCTGTATTCGATTGTATACAGAGAGTATTCGATTTTCTCTTTCATTTCCAGCCTGGTTCCTGTTAGTAGCTCCGTTTTATGTTCTCTCCCCGCAGCTGAACATTACTTAATAAATCACCTGCTCCTTGTTCCAGCACTCACCTTCTCCGGTTCTTACACACTTCGGTTCTCTTCCGTCAAAGTCAGATTCTGCTGCTGTCTACCTGCCGCTCGGCCCGTCGTGCTCTGTGGGAAACCTCTCTCTTGGTGCTCCTTGTTGTTTCCAGTTTTGTAAAACTCTCTATTTGGTTCCTTGTTATGCTCCCTACTTACTATGACTCTGCCAGCATCAAGCGTGTATTCGAGTCCACAACCACCTCAATGCTTGGCAAGCTTTTGTTGCATTTCTTTGTTGTCGTTATAGTTACGAGAGCAATGATTGTATTTTATTTTTTTGTAAGTAATCAGTGGTAAAATGCTGAAAAAAAAGCCTTTATACACATAGCAAAGATTGCTTTTGACTTGTGGAAATATGTTTTCTAGATCAATCAGAAACCCAATTGTATGACGGCAGTATTGAGATACAATAATCTAGGCCTTTTTTGAGATATGACATTAGGAGAATAAAAAAAAATCATTGCTTGAAGATTAGGTCTATACATCCATCAGCCTAATTTGCTTCAAATAAATCTTTCAATATGTTTTGTGGATTTCTGGTTGCTAGAAAGTTTAATTTAAATTCATAATGTAGGAAACTTAAAAGCCAGAATCAGCATAAACGCGACATGCAGACAGAACCGAGTTAAACGTAAGAACCTTTCTAGCAAAATTGAAATTGACTTTTTGCTAGGGAAGCGTACTTACACTACTGAGGTATGTAAGTGTTTACTCTACTTACCCTCTTAGCAGCTCATCCAAATCTCAGTATGTTGCCCAAATTAAATGATTTAAAAGCCTTTCAGCTGCTTTTTCTCTAAGCAGTTATTTAATGACCACCAAAGTCTAGCAAATTCTGACGAGAAAGAGAAGCGCTTTACAAAAGATGACAAACTGGTGAACTGTGAGTGTAAAGACAGGCTGCGTGGCTCCCAGGCCTGAAATGTAAGATAAAACCAATCAGACTTCATGTCATAATCCTGCAGCAGCAGCACATCTCTGAACGTAGTCCATATTCAGATGCTGCGTTTTCTCCCCCCGTCTCGAGCATAAAGGGATTAATTTGCATTACTGGCATGAAATTATGAATTCTTTTTTGTTGTTGTTTTTATTCCTGACATGTCAGCTAACATGGCTTGCATTATTTATTTAAATAAAGAGAGAATTTTTTTTAAAAATTATTTTTAATTAATACATATCAGATACGCCTTCAACTTTAGACGAAAAGTCACACGAGCTGATGGGGTTGACCTCAGCCAACGAGAGGTATTCGTCTCAGATTAACGCTTGAGACCCACTTGCTCAAAACGGCTGTTGCCATGGCAACTGCAAATTTTTTGTTATTGGACCTTGTATATCATTGTGTTTTACTGCTGTTGCCGGGAAATGAGTCAGGCGGCTTGCTCTCAGTCGGAGACGCACCATCGCTCAGGAATGGAGAAGAGGAAGAGGAGGAGAAGGGGGAGACCCTGGCATGCTTGCAGGATTTCACACTTTTTATTGATATATATATATATATATAATTTTATTGTTTTTAGACGCAAGGAGCACCTTAAAGCGTCTGGACAGAAGCTCAGTGCGTCGTTGAAGAAAGACAACGCTGTTTTGCGCATGGACACAAGTCCTTCCATGATTATTCTGACTCATATTTATTCACCAACAGTCACACGCATAAATACTGCATCTAATGTGGGACGCTCATTAAAATACAAAGAACCCTAGGGTACAGCTTTTTCCCCCCCCCCCCGTTGCATCAACCTTATGAAACTGTCTGTCAAAGCTCTCAAGGAGGCTGAAAAAGACCAAGGCGTGGATAAGTCCAAAAGGACAATTCCCGCTATTCGTGGGCGGGATTGTGGGGAATGGAGAGATTAGGAGGTGAGAAGTGTGTGAACATGGCTTCTGGGACGGTAACTGTTGGGAGTCGTGGGATCGCCTGCTGAAGGTCTCACACAGTCTGTGTTTAAAATGATTTCACAGTGCAGCTCCCAAAAGTGTTCATACAGCAAATGAGATTGAAATGACATTTTTTTTGACTCGCATGTAAAGTGAGGTCCTGAAAACACCGTCCCTCCTGGCAAAAAAATAAAATAAAAAAGGGATAGTAACATCATGCTGCTGGGATAATTTCATTCAGAAGAGATAGGGAAGATTATTAAAGTCAAACACACAAAAAAAAGCTAAAAGTGGTGGAATGCTCAGAGCACATGCTTAAATGGCCTAGTCAAAGCCCAGGTTTGAACTCCATTAGTAAGTTTTGGCATGACTTAAAAGTTGATGTTCCATCCAATCTTTGAACATTTGGGGGATTTTTTTTCCTGTTCCTTTGTGCTGGTCTGTCACACAAACTTCCACTAAAATAACTTGCTAGGAGCCATGATAAACAAACAAACAAAAAAGTAGATGGTTTATTAAGACAAAAAAAACTTGAGACATCAATAAGCTGCAGAAATCAAACATAATTAATTATCCAAGAAAATAGAACAATTATTGCTTAAATTATTAAGCAATCATTTATAGACACAGCAAGAAATGTGTTCTTGTAGCCACATTTCCAAAAGAAAAACAGAACCAAAGCACAACCTTCTGCTTTCCACAATTCATTTAATAGGTTTAATAATATAACAAATGAAACACAAAATTACATTTTAAACAACAACAAAAAAATTAGAACTTATAATCATGTGGCTCTGGTATCACGTTTAAATAATATGAGAATAGGAAAAGATGCTAATTTTAGTATATCATAAGAAATGCTTTAATTTCATGCCATCCGATAAAAGTTGCATTATATATATTATATATATATAAAGTAAATATTTTCTAAAAAAAAAACAAAAAAAACTTAATTATATTGATTGAAACTGATCTAATCTATTGGGACAAGTTGTTAACTACTTTGCCATGCTGTAGTGCAAATATGCACAGTCAAAACAAGGCAAACAAAAATAGCATTGTGCCAATAGACCAAAAAAAAAAAAATAATAATAACACTGTTGGTTTGTTGCTAGAGCGTTAAGAGTAAATATGATGTAAATCCCTTCAGGTTTCGAAGATGCTCCATCCTCCTGAGGACGAGGGAAACCTGCCGCCATGTCGAGCTGCTCCCTGTGGACATGATCCACAAATACAAGCAAATTATGTTGAGAAAAAAAACAGATGAGCTCACACATTAGCCACACACAGCAGGTTTCTGTCCCCAAAGCGACCCGCATCCACGCTGACATCACACAGCGGCGCATTGTTTACGGCATTAATAATGGATGGAGCCATTTATGGATTTTTAAAGTTTATTCAGAAATGAGGGCTGATAGTGCTGTCACAAGATCACAAAACCCAAAGGAGGAAGCTAATAAAAAGAAAGCACGACTAATGGCGGCGACTGCAGTTTCTGTAGGGAGGTCTGTCTGGATGCAGTCAGAGCAAAGAGCGGTGGGATTGTGATGTGACACAGACTTCTTTCATAAATTCATAATCATAATTTTTCAGCCGTTGTGAGATTTACTGCGTCTGGTTTCTTCTGGTGCAAAATTATTACGCATGTCTCACATCGGTGACGCAGAAGCCGGATTAAATACGACATGATTGCCCAGATTGCAGAAGTTTTGAAAAATATTGGACACGTATCAGAATGAGCACCATGTATGGAAGTGGGGGAGAAAAGATTGGGAATGAGGCGTTCAGAGTACGTTGAAA